ATCTTGAAAATTGCTTTCCATTTTCCTTTTTTCCGATTTACACACCAACTGTTGAAGCTGTTATGGTTGTTCTATTTCATTTCACCGCATGAAAGCTGAAACCGCTCTTTCCGTCTCCGTTCGCTCACTACAATCCAGCGCTCTCACCCTTCTGATCCAGACCCTTTCTTCTTCTTCTTCTTCTTCCTTCTCGCCCTTCGTCGTCCCTTTCCCTGATCAGTTTTTGCCTTCAATTCTCTCACAATGGGTAAAGGAGGCTCTTTGAGCGAGGGCGTTCTTAAGAAGATCATCATCTCCTACACCTACGTCGCCGTATGGATCTTCCTCAGCTTCACCGTCATCGTCTACAACAAGTATATCCTCGACAGGAAGATGTACAATTGGCCTTACCCTGTTTCCCTTACCATGATCCACATGGCCTTCTGTGCCTCCCTCGCCTTCCTCCTTGTTCGCGTCTTCAAGGTCGTCGAACCAATCTCCATGTCCCGCGACGTTTACCTCTCCTCCGTTGTCCCCATCGGAGCACTCTACTCGCTTTCTCTCTGGCTCTCTAATTCCGCTTACATCTACCTCTCTGTCTCCTTCATCCAAATGCTCAAGGCCCTCATGCCTGTCGCTGTTTATTCCATTGGTGTTCTCTTCAAGAAAGAATCCTTCAAGAACGAAACCATGGCCAACATGGTCTCGATCTCTCTCGGTGTCGGCATTGCTGCTTATGGAGAAGCCAGATTTGATACTTGGGGTGTGATCCTTCAATTGGGTGCCGTCGTTTTTGAAGCCACCAGGTTGGTAATGATCCAAATCTTGCTTACCTCTAAAGGCATCTCGCTGAATCCCATTACTTCTCTCTACTATGTCGCGCCTTGTTGCTTGGTCTTCTTGTCTGTGCCTTGGATCATCGTGGAGTACCCTGTCTTGAGGGCGGCTTCTACCTTCAATTTTGATTTTGTGATTTTTGGGACCAATTCTTTGTGTGCATTTGCTTTGAATCTCGCCGTTTTCCTGCTCGTCGGTAAAACCTCTGCTTTAACGATGAATGTGGCCGGCGTGGTGAAAGACTGGCTTCTGATTGCTTTCTCATGGTCGGTTATTAAGGACACTGTCACGTCCCTCAATTTGTTTGGGTATGGGCTTGCCTTTTTGGGTGTTGCCTATTACAACCATTCAAAACTGAAGGCCCTTAAGGCGAAGGAGACGCAGAAGAAGACTACACAAACTGATGAGGAGGCAGGGAGGTTGCTGGAGGAGAGAGAAGGGGATGGCATGGGGAAGAGGAACGAACAGCAGAATTAATTTTATGGCTAATTTAGACAGATTGAGAACGTAAAAGAGTACAGAAATAAAATGAGGAGGAAGAGCAGTCTCTAGTTTTTGAATTGGAAGTGAAAAGGAACTTAGCGTACTCTGTTTTCTTTTAGCATACTCTGCTTAAAATGCTAATTCGGTATGGCATTCCAGGTCTTCATGTTAATCTGTTGCTTGGATGTGTCCTAGACTAAGAGCTTCGAATCCTTTTTGGTTTTTGTTTCTTGGTATTTCACCCTGTAGTTTTATGTTATGTTCTTGTAGAAATTCGATTTCTGGAGTTTTTTTTTTCTATCGTTTTGGCCAATCTTGTTTAATGCTGTTTATAGTTCATTTCTGTTTACTCGAAAATTTTGAACTGGGCATAATCATCCCCTGCATGCCGCTAAATCTGAGCAACAATTTGACTCAATACGACATGTATCCGTATCTCAAAGTCAAAAATGTAAACAAATTATGATGAGAAATTAATCGCTACGTTCCAAGTTAATAATGGATAAGGACATGACATGGCCATTCCTATTTGACTGCGAAAGAAGTAAGATTGTGACAATCTGAAATTGGCTGCTTTATTGTCTTCAGTGATGGAATATATTGTCTGCCTCAGGTCATAGGGATAAGGTAGTATGCACCATATCCTAAAGATTTTATTTGAAAGGGAGCCCCGTTTGTATTGGAACTGGAATCTCATGGAGACGCAGTTCTCTCGCCTCTTCAGCATCTTCATGTACTCGCCATGATGTTTTAGGCTTTAGCTTACCCTGGTCCCCGCTGCTGCCAATTCAAATCGACTTTCCTATCACTAACGCTAAGCGTTCAGCACTCCATTTATGTCTCAAGATATAGTAAAAGAATGGGGTTGGTAGCCACCAAATTCCTCAGCATAAAAAATGAATGTGCACCGCATCAATTAAGGGACCATTTCACTACCCTTCCAGGTTCCAACGAACTCAGAATCTTAATCCTTTCATCAATAAATTCATTTTAACGGTTTGAGTCACATGCTTACATCATTGATAGGGCATTTGGGCTGTCATTAATCCATTTGTGAAACACTGGCCTGGGTTTGGTTTATCAGAAGGAAGACAATCGCCCACAACTAATTGGAATCCGGTCACGGAGAATAACTCTATGTAGCTTTCTAAACTTTCCCAGCTGTAGTTTAAGATCAGTTAAAAGAAGAAAAATGAGTTATCAGTGTTCTTGGTATATGAACCTGACTGGATAATATTGAAACGATCGATTGCTTCTAATCTGGAAATGCCATCAGGTCAAGAAAGTTTGATGTTTTCATTAAATGACTCGTATACCTTTGATGCTTGGATTTGTCACCACTCACCAGAAATCCCCACATGAACACGACCCATTCTGGAAAAGGTGGAAGCGATTGCGATCCCTTACCACAATCTCTCGGTTATATATCTTCGATATAAACTTCGTGGCTGAGTGGCAATCTTCACAGACACGCAAATTCTTCACAAATCTAATTGGTGTTCCAGGCGGTGTATTTATAAGAGCAAAAGCTATAGCAAGCTTTTCACTGTGTCTGTATAAAGAATCCTCTTTGTCTTCTTCGTCAATGTCAAGCAACACCTGTGATGTTGCAGGCACATACCCTGCCCTCTTCAGCTCCCTTCCCATCTCATCCACCATTTCATATATTTCCTTGTACTGGTGGTGCGATTTATCTCCAGCCACAAACTCGTGCATTTCATTATTTAGCTCGATCATAGTGCTCCCCGGAATCTTTTTCATCCCTTTCATATCCATCTTTTCTCTAATCTTGATTTTCTTCTCCCAGTGCAGCAATTTTGCATAAATGTTTGAAAGTAGCACATAGTTAGATTCATGCATGGGCTCGTTTTCTATTAGCTGTTTTGTGATGCTCTCTCCAAGCTTGAGCTCCCCACCGGCGTGACAGGCAGTGATTATGCTTCTCCAAATGATTTGGTTTGGTTCAATGGGCATTTGTTGTACAAAATCCAGAGCTTCTTTCACAAGTCCAGCTCTGCTCAATAGATCTACCATGCAGCCATAATGTTCTATCTTGGGCTCAATGCCGAATTTCTCAACCATTGAATTGAAATAGTGACGTCCTGTTTCAACTAACCCTGAGTGGCTACAAGCAGAAAGCAATCCAATAAAAGCAACATCGTCAGGGGCTACCCCTGCTTCTATCATCTCTTCAAATACAGAAACAGCTTCTTCGCCGCCACCATGCATTGCCAGGCCAACAATAACAGAAGTCCACGAAACTATAGTACGAACGCTCATTTTTCTGAACAATTTTATGGCCTTGTCAATCTCACCACATTTTGCAAACATATCTATCAGAGCATTACAGAGCTCCACTGGCTGTTGGATATTTTCTCGGCGAACATAAGATTCTATCCACTTCCCCAGCTCAAGTGCTCCTGAATCCGTGCACGCAGATAAAACTGAAACCATCGTGATTTCATCTGGGCGAACTCCAATAACCTGCATTTCCCTAAACAATGCAATGGCGTTTGCAGAATGGCCTAAACGTGCATACCCGCCAATCATCGCACTCCATGTCACTGAATCTAATTTAGGAGTTTCGTCGAACACCTTTCTTGCAGACTCGACCCCTTCGTTACAACAACAATACATGTGAATCATTGTATTCTGGACATGAAGATCGTCATCAAATCCGAACTTCACGACCGACCCATGAACAGATCTGCCTAAATTCAAATGTGCAAGGCCCGCACAGGACTTGAGGACGAATGGGAAAGTGAATTTATTAGGCAAAACTCCGTAATCGAGCATGGTTCGGTAGAAATATATAGCCTTGTCCTTCGAGTTACCCGTTTGAGCATAAGCCCTAATGACAGTATTGAACAGGAAAGCATCATAAACACGAGTATTGGCTTCGGAAGAGAATATAAATGGCGAAGCATAGTGGATGGCATCAAGCTCGGAGGAAGTGGATGCGAACTTGGTGAGGACTAATGGGTTATTCCGAAGACCCAATTTGAGAATAAGAGTTTGGATTTGGGTGAGCTTCTGGATAGTATTGCAGGATTGAAGAAAAGCTAAGCAGCTCTGCTCAGCAACTCTTCGTTTTGTGGTATCGGGTGGAAGTTGGAGATTGGTCGAGAGACTAAAGCTGGCGATCGAACGACACAGCTTCGTCCGAGGTCGCATAGGTTCGTTTCAGAATCCTCGACGGCTAATACCTGAAATTGAAGCAAGTCCAGTTCATGCTTCATCGTTCTCTTCCCTCCTTTGACCGAGAAGATGAAGGCGCAAAACGCCATCATGTTTTGTTTTGTTTTTTAAAAACATTTATTAGTCAAATAAAGTACTTCGATCGAACTTCAGCCAACCCCTCTCCATGTGCCGCTCATGAAATAAAATATTTTTCTTGCATTATTTTCAATAAGATATTTAAAAAATAATCCACCAAATAATTAGTTTGATCAACTTTTTTGAGTCACAAAAATTAGTTAGTTAGTTAAATTTCGGAGACCAAACTGGCCTCAAATTTTAGGATTAAAACCATGTCAAAATTTCGGGTTATAATTATAGTTAAGGTACACGACCCAGTTTTGGATGATAAAAAAATAAGCTGTTATTCCTTTACGACACTACCAAAAACATTGCATCGCCTGAGATCCATCCAAACGGACCCTAACATTTCGCATATGCTGTTTAATTTATTGCTCTCACGTGGCTGGTGACCGGTGAGAATAGCGGCCACGTCAGTTTCTCTCTTCGATCGACTACGATATGAGCACGATTGTGTTCGCGCCATGAGAAGCAACAAGGTTGATTGCTCAAGCGTCGGATATGAGAATGATTAGAAGGGTTTCAATTTGGTATCATCTCTGTGATGGACTCCTGGCTAGAGGCATTTCGAAGCTAGGCGTCAATGTAGTTCGCTCTTATTGTGATGGCTCCCAGTCACAACTTCGCCATCATAAGATTCCAGGTACCTCCTCCTCTTCGTCAATTTTGTATTTCTTTATTTGCTTCCGTCGTGAAACTTCATAGTGATAAAATGTTTGGACTTTCAACCATTCAGCTGATTCATTTTATTTGGTTTAAAGTTTTACATTAATTTTTCCTGTAACTGTGATCCCCCAGGGCCGCTGGTCCAGTATAGAAGTCTGGTTGCGCAAGGGAAGCTGCAACATGATCCTTATCAAGAAAGTGTTGCTTCAGAGCTGGAGAATTTGCTTGCAAGGTTGGAGCAGTATGACAAAGAAATGGAGGAATATCATGTAAAACTGGAATTGAATATTCTGTTCACTGCCTACGTCATCTAATTCTTCTATGTGAAATATATGAACGCTTATCTTGTGGCTCATAGATACTTTTTAATCTTAACTCTTCGCAGGTAAATCTGTCCAACTGGGAGAGGAATCGGGAAAATGAACGTCGTAGACTCATGATGCAGGAAGTCGAGCACCACCAACAACATGAGGACTGGTGGACGCGATTAACCAAGCGTCGGAATAAACTTGTTGAAAGATGGACCTCTCGGTAAAGTTTGACCGAATTCGATACGGTCTGATTCAACTTGGCTTTTGCTGTATCATTTCTGACTTGGACTTTTTTACTGCTTATGCTTAAAATGAATTCGAACTCAAAATTCAGTGTTAGCTAATGTGTTATCATTTCAAATTAAGTCTAAAATCGGTGCCATCTTGATTATTTTCTGAATCAATATATGTCTTCACGACTCAGGAAGAAACCAAAACATATGGAGCCAGGAGTGGGAAAATGGGTTTCGTATCTTAATCGTGAGAGGAAATTAGATTCACTGGGCGGTCCCCGTCCAAAAGCTCCACCAGCACCAAAAGGACTTTACATTTATGGCAATGTTGGCAGTGGTATGCCACTAGACATTGTTCTGTTTACCAGGAACGCAAACTTATACGGTTATGCCTGCCTAGTTTGGTTTCTTTTTTAAGTTAAATGCATTCCTTGAAGTTTCTGCCTGCATCATTTATGTCATCCACTACAGTAGATATATATTCTTTCCTCAGTTCACTTGGTAGCATCGTGTTGCTCAATTCTTTCTATATTAATTTGCTAACATTGTGAGCAATGAAGGGAAGACAATGCTGATGGATATGTTTTATATTGCCACTGAACGAATTGTTAAACATCGAAGAAGGTACCACTTTCATGAGGTGAGTCTTGAATAAATGTTTGGGCATTACTTGGATCCCGATGTTAACTTTGAGTTGGATGTCGTATATGCTCTTTCTGAAATATATGCTTAATTTATCTCTAGTTAGAGTGAGACGATTGACAAATCGTGTGCAGAAGATGCTGAAAGAGAATCATGCTGTTTACCATTCATTTGCAGGCCATGCTAAGAATAAATGAACAAATGCACAATTTATGGAAGAACCAAAGAGAGGAAAAGTCTTTGGAATCAAGCATTTCTAGTTGGATCATGAATCTTCCCTTTGATTCAAAAGCTAAGGAGTGGCTAGCTGCAGAAGAAAAATACAAGGAAGAAGTGCAGATGAAAAACATTCTCCTTGCTGTAGCAGACAAGTTTTTTGTGGATCAAATAGAAAATGAAGGGGGAGCTAGTATTCTATGCTTTGACGAAATACAAGTAAGAAAAGCATTTAACCTATTATTAGGGATACTTGGTATCTTCATCCTTACGTGGAGGCTACCATGTTCTGAGGACCATCTTGAGATGTTGAGGGATAACAAGAGAGTGTTGCCTATTGATGTTATAGCTGAGTAAGTGTTGAGAGAAAATAATTTGTCCGCAGAATATTTCTAGTGGGAGAGAGGGAATTAAAGAAGTGTAATGCACTATTTAACATCATCATGCATTGTACCTTGCTTAAAAAGTCTAAATTTAGAATGAAATCCTTTATTAGTGTGAAGTTATATTAGTTTATCTCCTGCTTGAGAGATAAAGTAACTCCCAAACCTCAATTATCTTACATACTTACCTTGTGAATATCATAAGCACTGGAATAGGAGTTCCAGTGAACGCCAAATTTTTGTCAGTAAGGCTTTTGATAGCTCTGACATTACAAAGAGGAACATTATCCTGAGGTTATTTTGTCCAATCCATACATAATTTTAGTGTCAGATCGTATTTTGGGGTGGAAACCCAATTTAGCTTGTAAAGCTGGGTTGCTATGAGATTAAATTGCATCTTTTGTCATCCCTCCCTTGCTACCAATGCTATTACAATGAGTTCACTTTATATCGGAGTGCTTGCATTCCATTGGCTGGCTTGCTACTTTTTCCATGACCAAATATTTCTGCTCTTTATTTCAGACTGTTGATGTCTTTGCTATTGTGGCTTTATCTGGAATTCTAAGCAGATTGCTGAGTACTGGAACTATAATTGTGGCTACCAGTAATAGAGCACCAAAGGACTTAAATGAGGTGCGGTATTTATGAATCAATCATTTATGGGTGGCGATAGTATTTTCACCAGCCAATCCATATTGTGCAACTCTGATTATTTTTGGCAGACTAAGACAAGTTGTTCATTTTTTAATTATTTATTTTCTGGACAATCATTGTTCGTGCAGGCTGGTATGCAAAAGGAAATCTTCCAAAAACTTGTCTCGAAATTGGAACAACATTGCAATAATGTATTAATTGGTTGTGAAATTGATTACCGTCGTTTTATAGCCCAAAGATCAGTAAACCAGGTTAGATATGGGTCGTATTATTTTCCCTTCCTCTGTTTCATTTGTGCAGATCTTGCATCAATTCAATATTAAAATCCAGAGCAAAAGAGTAGTAGTGCAACGATTTCCCTTTGAATCAACTTTGATCTAACTTGGTCATTTGATGGAGATTTGCACATATAACCAGTTACTTGGCTAAGCATATGTGATCAACTATGGCTGTTATTTTATCTTTCTATGGTTGATTTTGCTAGCTAGATCAATGTTAGCTAAATATCTCTTAAATATTCTCACCAAGAAGGCTTTTAGGCAAACTCATATATTGACTTTCAGTAAAAAGCTTCAATTTCAAACATATAATGATATCACTGGTATATAAATGCAGGTACATTATTTATGGCCTCTTTCAAGAGATGCTGTGAATGAATTTGAGAGAATGTGGCATGATATAACAGGAAGACTGGGAGGAAAAATAGTCTCTAACATTATCTCGGTGATGTTTGGAAGGTAGATTACTTGATTAAGTTTTTCAAACTTAAAAGGTGGACAATATTATTAATCATATGCTTGTTTCTGACAGGACACTTGAGGTTCACGAAAGCTGCAATGGAGTTGCACGCTTCACATTTGAGTATCTTTGTGGTCGTCCGGTATGATATATTTCTTTTCGTTTTGTTATTGCAAGTTAATCTATTGTCATGGAACCTCATTCTCTGACCTTTATTCCTAGTCGTTTTACTTTGCAATGTTAATTGGAAGTTAAGCTTATGCATTTATTTAATATTTCTGTGACCGGGTAATAATTACTCCCCAGAGTTAGGATATCAACAGGATGGAACCTGTTTATATATAAATTCTGTTGTCTTTGTGGTTGGATCCTCACCCCTGTGCCCCCTACAACCAGCCAACCCAGTACCTCCCGAGGAAGGATGGAGGACTTGGACTAGATGGAGGACTAGGGCTATAAATCAATAAAGAAAACTTCAGCTTCACTACTAAAGTAAGGTTTATAATATAATTGGAAATGCTGAGCTTCTAGGTATGATCTGGAGTTGGAGTGTAGTTGAGCCGAAGGAATGAAAGATCAAAACACTTGAGACAGCCATCTGGTATGGAAGTTGTTAGAGAGAAATGTTAGCTATGAAAACCGAGAAAACCATGTCCATGTGCCTTCTTGTAAAGGACTTTGTGATGTTACAAATGCTATGCTCTGTTCTTATTCCCTTTTTCTGTCAGCGTCACTTGCATTCTTAATAGATCTTCATTCTCTAAGTAAACTTTTTTTTTTTGTTGATTTGTTTGTGTGCGTGCATGAATATTTAGGCAATTACACAAGATGACTTATAATTTCTCCTTCTCCTCCTCCCTTCTAGTTGGGTGCAGCTGATTATATTGCAGTAGCTGAAAACTATCACACTGTTTTCATATATAACATTCCAGTGATGAGTATGCGTATTCGTGACAAGGTATGGTTGATTTCTTTTTGTCCTCGACCGTGTCAAACAATTTTTTTTTCCGGCCAGCACTGTGTCGAACATTCATGATTGATATGATATGACACTTCAGTTACACAAAACATATCATTATCCTGTTTTGAGCAAAACATGCTACTTTGCAGGCACGGAGATTCATCACCCTTATTGATGAACTATACAATCATCATTGCCACTTGTGTTGTTTGGCAGCCTCTTCGATTGATGAATTATTTCAAGGAACTGAGGAGGGAACACTCTTTGACTTGGAGAGGTAATTTTATCAATTTGTACCAGCTATGTAGTAAATACAGATTCAACAGATCTTATCAGCGAACATTATGTGCTTCAACTGTTTGTGTCCTGACGCTTGGTGGCCTTTTTTTTAAAAAAAAAAAAACACTTTTACGCTCTGGTTTTGTTTCCAGTTTCCAGTTTGAAACAGAGACTGAAGGTGGGAAACTTCGAAGAGACGTCTTAGCAGAAGGCAATGTGGGATCAGGAGGTGCCCCTTGTGGTATCACATCCATTCTGTCTGGTCAGGAAGAGATGTTTGCTTTTCAGCGAGCTGTAAGTATTGACCTTTCCTTCAGCCTCTCTCCCTGCTTGCTGTTGCAACCGAATCTCTAGTTAGCATGAAATTGATTAATAAGTCCATTCAGTGGATCCTGTTGCGTATTCTCTGTTTTTCATGACAACATGCTTTGATGTTTTCCTAGTATTTGGTTGCCTGTTAGTGATCATGACATCTGCTGGGTTTTCATCTGCTTTCTTCTGCATCCCAACAGAGCCAGAAATGTACATCCTCTTTCTTATAACTGAATTTGAGGATCAAAGGCTTATCACTTGATAATATAATTGGAATACTATATGTGTATCTTCTGTCATCTGTCACCAACTTCCTCATGCATTTTGCTGGAATATATCTCATCCATGTAGCACCGATATGTGCATTACGTGATACACATAATACACAGATTTTATAATATTGTACTCGATACTCATGCCGGTATCTGTGCATCATAGTATTTCATAGATGAAAACTGTCAGGGTATAGATTCTGTTTATAAATATACACCTGACAGTTGTCTCCTGTATTCTTTGTTTTCGTTTTTTTTTTTAAATGATGAGAGAAAAGGTCCAAAAAATGTGAACATAAGATCTTTCTTCGTAGGTCTCACGCTTGATTGAAATGCAAACGCCATTGTACTTGGATGGAGTCCGTAATTTCCACCCTTACTTCCAGAGGCAACGTCAAGAATCTCTTAAAATATCTCGCGAGAACTTGCAATATGACATATCAGTCTGAACAGTAAGCATTTTTCGGCCAGCTAATCAATTGTTTAAGGTGCAGTTTGTAGCTCCAGTTCTCGTGAGCCTACACTTCGTTGCTCTTCAGTAATAAGCATCGGCAGAGGAGTGATTGACTTTGTGATCCATATCGATTCTTTATTCCTTAGTGCCATATCCCTAGATGGCGCTGCAATGTATAATTAATACTTATTTTTGTGCTCTTCTAAATATATAAATCCTGAATGATGTTCAAATGTATCAACTTTGTTGTTAGAAGGGTAGTGAATCATGATTGATGTAGTTCAATGGTAATTTCTGTTTTCTTTTCAAACTCGATGAACTGATCCATAAATCTTGGTGGGATATAATAGATTGAGTACAAAATCTTGCGTTTTACATGATTGACCTTTGTTTGGCTTATATATGTTTCTTTTGACGCTTTTATGCAAAATTAAGGAGTTACGAAACCTTGAAGACAAGACATGGCAATATGTGTAACTGAAAGTCCCCCAGAGTTTTACGGCGATTCGATGATGGAATTCTAGATAAGTTACGTTCACTGTGGATCATTCTAGAATCTCTACTACAGACAAAGCACTCTAGGATCATTCTTGGATCCCTTCTCTTCAACCCAATTTGCTCTCAAGGTCAAACGCTTATTATTATGCATGCAAAAACGATTTCGTTGAAGATTCGCGCATGGCGTGTGAGGATTTTGCTCCACGCACTGAATCCAAGTGCATATTTGATTTTGAATGGCATTTAAGGCATAAGCTTTGAATTGATATTTAAATCGCAGGCGTGAAGCTAACATTGAGCTAGCCCACAGGATAATATACTTCAGGTTACCGAAATTACGATGTTGCCTGCTAATTAGAATGAATAATGTATTTTTCTTTTTCTCGCGAATCCAGCCCACTGCGAAACACGTGTGAAACATGATCAAATTGATAGGTGACAACTAAATCACTTTATAAAGAATTATATAACTACCTCATCTCCACTAAATTACTCTTTCGGTCCTAAATACAGACTATTATACTAGTGTATATAAGGGTCTTATATTTAAGACCGAAGAGTACTTTATAAACAATTATATAAACGTCC